GTGCAGTGAGGGATGTGTTAAGTTTATACTGGGTGTTGGGTTACATTGTACAGTGAGGGATGTGACAATGAGGGATGTGTTAAGTTATACACTGGGTGTTGGGTTAAATTGTACAGTGAGGGATGTGTTAAGTTATACACTGGGTGTTGGGTTACATTGTACAGTGAGGGATGTGTTAAGTTTTACACTGGGTGTTGGGTTACATTGTACAGTGGGGGATGTGTTAAGTTATACACTGGATGTTGGGTTACATTGTCCAGTCTGGGATGTGTTAAGTTATAGACTGGGTGTTGGGTTAAATTGTACAGAGGGGGATGTGCTAAGTTATAGACTGGGTGTTGGGTTACATTGTACAGTGGGGAATGTGTTAAGTTATACACTGGGTGTTGGGTTAAATTGAACAGTGAGGGATCTGTTAAGATATACACAGGTAGTGGGGTTACATTGTACAGTGAGGGATGTGTTAAGTTATACACTGGATGTTGGGTTACATTGTACAGTGGGGGATGTGTTAAGTTATACACTGGGGTTGGGTTTTATTGTACAGTGAGGGATGTGTTAAGTTATACACTGGGTGTTGGGTTACATTGTACAGTGAGGGATGTGTTAAGTGATACACTGGGTGTTGGGTTACATTGTACAGTGAGGGATGTGTTAAGTTAAACACTGGGTGTTGGCTTAAATTGTACAGTGAGGGATGTGTTAAGATATACACTGGGTGTTGGGTTACATTGTACAGTCTGGGATGTGTTAAGTTATAGACTGGGTGTTGGGTTACATTGTACAGTGAGGGATGTGTTAAGTTATACACTGGGTGTTGGGTTACATTGTACAGTGAGGGATGTGTTAAGTTATAGACTGGGTGTTGGGTTACATTGTACATTGAGGGATGTGTTAAGTGATACAGTGGGTGTTGGGTTACATTGTACAGTGGGGGATGTGTTAAGTTATACACTGGGTGTTGCCTTAAATTGTACAGTGGGGGATGTGTTAAGTTATTCACTGGTTATTGGGTTACATTGTGCAATTTGGGATGTGTTAAGTGATACACTGTGTGTGGTGTTACATTGTACATTCGGGAATGTGTTAAGTTAAACACTGTGTGCTGGGTTACATTGTGCAGTGAGGGATCCGTTAAGTGATACACTGGGTGTGGGGTTACATTGTACAGTGGGGAATGTGTTAAGTTATACACTGGGTGTTAGGTTACATTGTGCAGGGGGGGATGTGTTAAGTTATACACTGGATTTTGGGTTACATTGTACAGTGAGGGATGTGTTAAGTTATACACTGGGTGTTGGGTTACATGGTGTAGTGAGGGATGTGTTAAGTTATACACTGGGTGTTGGGTTACATTGTACAGTGAGGGATGTGTTAAGTTATACACTGGGTGTTGGGTTACATTGTGCAGTAAGGGATGTGTAAAGTTATACACTTGGTGTTGGGTAACATTGTACAGTGGGGGATGTGTTAAGTTATACACTGGGTGTTGGCTTAAATTGTACAGTGAGGGATGTGTTAAGTTATACACGTGGTGTCGGGTTACATTGTGCAGGGATGTGTTAAGTTATACATTGGGTGTTGGGTTACATTGTGAAGTTTGGGATGTGTTAAGTGATATACTGGGTGTTGGGTTACATTGTCCAGTCTGGGATGTGTTCAGTTATACACTGGGTGTTGGGTTACACTGTACAGTGAGAAATGTGTTAAGTTATACACTGGGTGTTGGGTTACATTGTACAGTGAGGGATGTGTTAAGTTATACACTGGGTGTTGGGTTAAATTGTACATTGAGGGATGTGTTAAGTTATACACTGGGTTTTGGGTTACATTGTACATTGAGGGATGTGTTAAGTTATACACTGGATGTTGGGTTACATTGTCCAGTCTGGGGTGTGTTAAGTTATAGACTGGGTGTTGGGTTAAATTGTACAGAGGGGGATGTGTTAAGTGATACACTGGGTGTTGGGTTACATTGTACAGTGAGGGATGTGTTAAGTTAAACACTGGGTGTTGGCTTAAATTGTACAGTGAGGGATGTGTTAAGATATACACTGGGTGTTGGGTTACATTGTACAGTGAGGGATGTGTTAAGTTATACACTTGGTGTTGGGTTACATTGTACAGTGAGGGATGTGTTAAGTTATACACTGGGTGTTGGGTTACATTGTCCAGTCTGGGGTGTGTTAAGTTATAGACTGGGTGTTGGGTTACATTGTACAGTGGGGAATGTGTTAAGTTATACACTGGGTGTTGGGTTAAATTGAACAGTGATGGATGTGTTAAGTTATACACTGTGTGTTGGGTTACATTGTACAGTGAGGGATGTGTGAAGTTATACACTGGGTGTTGGGTTACATTGTGCAGTGAGGGATCTGTTAAGATATACACAGGTAGTGGGGTTACATTGTACAGTGAGGGATGTGTTAAGTTATACACTGGGTTCTGGGTTACATTGTACATTGAGGGATGTGTTAAGTTATACAATAGGTGTTAGGGTTACATTGTACAGGGGGGGGGGGGGAATGTGTTAAGTTATACACTGGGTGTTAGGTTACATTGTGCAGTGAGGGATGTGTTAAGTTTATACTGGGTGTTGGGTTACATTGTACAGTGAGGGATGTGTTAAGTTATACACTGGGTGTTTGATTACATTGTACAGTGAGGGATGTGTTAAGTTATACACTGGGTGTTGGGTTACATTGTACAGTGAGGGATGTGTTAAGTTATACACTGGGTGTTGGGCTACATTGTACAGTGAGGGATGTGTTAAGTTATACACTGGATGTTGGGTTACATTGTACAGTGGGGGATGTGTTAAGTTATACACTGGATGTTGGGTTACATTGTCCAGTCTGGGATGTGTTAAGTTATAGACTGGGTGTTGGGTTACATTGTACAGTGAGGGATGTGTTAAGTTATACACTGGGTGTTGGGTTACATTGTACAGTGAGGGATGTGTTAAGTTATAGACTGGGTGTTGGGTTACATTGTACATTGAGGGATGTGTTAAGTGATACACTGGGTGTTGGGTTACATTGTACAGTGAGGGATGTGTTAAGTTATACACTGGGTGTTGCCTTAAATTGTACAGTGGGGGATGTGTTAAGTTATTCACTGGTTATTGGGTTACATTGTGCAATTTGGGATGTGTTAAGTGATACACTGTGTGTGGTGTTACATTGTACATTCGGGAATGTGTTAAGTTAAACACTGTGTGCTGGGTTACATTGTGCAGTGAGGGATCCGTTAAGTGATACACTGGGTGTGGGGTTACATTGTACAGTGGGGAATGTGTTAAGTTATACACTGGGTGTTAGGTTACATTGTGCAGTGGGGGATGTGTTAAGTTATACACTGGGTTTTGGGTTACATTGTACAGTGAGGGATGTGTTAAGTTATACACTGGGTGTTGGGTTACATGGTGCAGTGAGGGATGTGTTAAGTTATACACTGGGTGTTGGGTTACATTGTGCAGTAAGGGATGTGTAAAGTTATACACTTGGTGTTGGGTTACATTGTACAGTGAGGGATGTGTTAAAGGGGAAGTGTACACGCAAAAATCACTTTCTTTCTTTTTCTAAACAAAACGCAATTTTAGAATTAGTTAGTATCTGTGTTTGAAAATATACACTCATTTTTTTTCACAGTGAAAGTAGGAAGCTCACAATAGTGTTAAAATAATATGCCGTTATGAGGCCTTCGTTTTACGAGCGAAATAGGCCTGAGTTATCCCCCTTAGATTATGACGTAATTGGTGCCAATTCAACTGGGTCCCTGTCTATTCTCAACGCAAAAGATATCAAGGACCAGTTTGCGGTAAAATAACATGGTCTACGACACACTCCGGCGCAGTGGTGAGTCAGCATAACACAATTCTGGCTGGCATCTGAGACGCTAGAATAAAAAAACTGTACCTACACCACGTGAAGCGGCTCTAACAAAGCATGATGACGTCATAATGTTTATCAATTGGCACCAATGACGTCATATTGCATGGGGCATAAGCCATGGTGTTTTTGTTATGGAAATAGAACACTTGGTTAATGTGAAAAATATAAATCGTTTTAATGCAAAAAATATGTTAATTAAATATGATGTTTTTATATTTTTGTCTATGACACTTCTATGTTAACACTTTTAATGTGGAAAAAGTACAAGAAAAATTGGTTCATTTCCGTGTGAACTTGCCCTTTAAGTTATACACTTGATGTTGGGTTACATTGTGCAGTGGGGGATGTGTTAAGTTATACACTGGGTGTTGGGTTAAATTGTACAGTGAGGGATATGTTAAGGTATACACTGGGTGTTAGGTTACATTGTACAGTGAGGGATATGTTAAGTTATACACTGGGATTGGGTTACATTGTACAGTGAGGGATGTGTTACGTTATACACTGGGTGTTGGGTTACATTGTGCAGTGAGGGATGTGTTAAGTTATACACTCGGTGTTGGGTTACATTGTACAGTGGGGGATGTGTTAAGTTATACACTGGGATTGGGTTACATTGTACAGTGAGGGATGTGTTACGTTATACACTGGGTGTTGGGTTACATTGTGCAGTGAGGGATGTGTTAAGTTATACACTCGGTGTTGGGTTACATTGTACAGTGGGGGATGTGTTAAGTTATACACTGGATGTTGGGTTACATTGTACAGTGTGGGATGTGTTAAGTTATACACTGAGTGTTGGGCTACATTGTGCAGTGGGGGATGTGTTAAGTTATACACTGGGTGTTGGGTTAAATTGTACAGTGGGGGATGTGTTAAGTTGTACACTGGGTGTTGGGTTACATTGTATAGTGGAGGGATTTGTTAAGTTATACACTGAGTGTGTGTAGCACGGGGTGTTACAGTGTACAGCTGGGTGTTACCATGTACAGATTCGAGCGTTACTGTGTACAGCTGGGATGTAAACATGTACATTTAGGATGGGTGTGTGTTACCTTGTACGCTCTACAGTAAGTATCGTTGTGTTCAAGAAAGGTTTGATGTTAGTATTTCAGATGTCAATACCGTGTACGGGAAAAGAGAAAGGTGTTGCATCTCTACTGCTGGGGCTCAGGATCTACAACAACAAAAGCGGTCTTGCCTTGGAAGGCACGCCGATTTCCTTCACTCTCAAGAAGGAATGTCACGCATTTGGTAAGATCCACCAACTTCCTTTTGCAGAATAATCTCGTCAATATGTTACTGGAAGTTACAAAGCGCAATGTGCGTACGTTAGAGACACATGTTACATTGCTTATGATTATTGGCACATCTGTATGTGCAAGTAGTCAGTGTAGGGGCTCTGTATGTGCAAGAGGTCAGTGTAGGTGCTCTGTATGTGCAAGGGGTCAGTGTAGGTGCTCTGTATGTGCAAGGGGTCAGTGTAGGTTCTCTGTATGTGCAAGTGGTCAGTGTAGGTGTTCTGTGTGTGCAAGGGGTCAGTGTAGGTGTTCTGTATGTGCAAGGGGTCAGTGTAGGTGCTCTGTATGTGCAAGTGGTCAGTGTAGGTGCTCTGTATGTGCTAGGGGTCAGTGTAGATTCTCTGTATGTGCAAGTGGTCAGTGTAGGTGCTCTGTATGTGCAAGTGGTCAGTGTAGGTGCTCTGTATGTGCAAGAGGTCAGTGTAGGTGCTCTGTATGTGCAAGTGGTCAGTGTAGGTGCTCTGTATGTGCAATGGGTCAGTGGAGGTGCTCTGTATGTGCAAGTGGTCAGTGTAGGTGCTCTGTATGTGCAAGGGGTCAGTGTAGGTTCTCTGTATGTGCAAGTGGTCAGTGTAGGTGCTCTGTATGTGCAAGTGGTCAGTGTAGGTGCTCTGTATGTGCAAGTGGTCAGTGTAGGTGCTCTGTATGTGCAAGTGGTCAGTGTAGGTGCTCTGTATGTGCAAGGGGTCAGTGTAGGTGCTCTGTATGTGCAAAGGGCCAGTGTAGGTGCTCTGTATGTGCAAAGGGTCAGTGTAGGTGCTCTGCATGTGCAAAGGGCCAGTGTAGGTTCTCTGTATGTGCTAGGGGTCAGTGTAGGTGTTCTGTATGTGCAAGTGGTCAGTGTAGGTGCCTTGTTTGTGCAAGAGGTCAGTGTAGGTGCTCTGTATGTGGAAGGGGTCAGTGTAGGTGCTCTGTATGTGCAAAGGGTCAGTGTAGGTGCTCTGTATGTGCAAGTGGTCAGTGTAGGTGCTCTGTATGCGCAAATGGTCAGTGTAGGTGCTCTGTATGTGCAAATGGTCAGTGTAGGTTCTCTGTATGTGCAAAGGGTCAGTGTAGGTGCTCTGTATGTGCCAGGGGTCGGTGTAGGTGCTCTGTATGTGCAAAGGGTCAGTGTAGGTGCCTTGTATGTGCAAGAGGTCAGTGTAGGTGCTCTGTATGTGCAAGGGGTCGGTGTAGGTGCTCTGTATGTGCAAGTGGTCAGTGTAGGTGCTCTGTATGTGCAAAGGGTCGATGTAGGTGCTCTGTATGTGCAAGTGGTCAGTGTAGGTGCTCTGTATGTGCAATGGGTCAGTGTAGGTGCTCTGTATGTGCAATGGGTCAGTGTAGGTGCTCTGTATGTGCAAGTGGTCAGTGTAGGTTCTCTGTATGTGCAAGTGGTCAGTGTAGGTGTTCTGTATGTGCAATGGGTCAGTGTAGGTGCTCTTTAGGAAGTGAAACCATCAAGTCGGGAGGATAACACAGGTAGATATATTCAAGAAACGCTATGTGCCACGTCAGCACATAGTGGTAGTAGTGGTGGTGTTGATGCCCAGTAGCTTCTTGCCTAACCCTAGGGAGGGTGAGACCAAGGCCATCTCTGGACCAAGGCACACACATGAACATCAGTAATTAATGTGAAGTGACATAGTTGCACAGCTGGTCGGGTTTGGCTGACAGTAAATGTACAATACATATGTGATGAGGACAAGCAGTGGGGATAAGTAATGGCATATTAGGTGATATGAGACATAAACATGTCATGGCAGCGGGGCAATTAGCCATTAGAATAAGTGTTCATTCGGACATTAGTTCACCTGAATCGGCTGCTGTGACAGATTTACAGGCCCTGCAGGTCATTCTCCCTCTAATGTGTGGTTTGTATGGTATACCGTTATATTCTCCACAGTTGAACTCCCAATAACCTATGAAAACAACAACTTACTGGAAACAGAAGGTGACCAAGTGTTGATCGTGTGGTATGGGGTCCGAGGATCGTACAGTAGTTTAGAGCTGACATATTGGGCTACTAGACCGTTAAAATGCCGATAACAGTACTAGACCGTTAAAATGCCGATAACAGTACTAGACCGTTGAGATGCCGATAACAGCACTGGACCGTTAAGATGCCGATAACAGTACTGGACCGTTAAGATGACGATAACAGTACTAGACTGTTGAGATGCCGATAACAGCACTGGACCGTTAAGATGACGATAACAGTACTAGACCGTTAAGATGACGATAACAGTACTAGACCGTTAAGATGCTAATAACAGTACTGGACCGTTAAGATGAAGATAACAGTACTGGACCGTTAAGATGACGATTATAGTACTGGACCGTTGAGATGACGATAACAGTACTGGACCGTTAAGATGCCGATAACAGTACTAGACCGTTAAGATGGCGATTACGGTTCTGTATCGTTAAGATTCCGATATCAGTACTAGACTGTTAAGTTGCCGATAACGCTTCTATATAGTTAATACATCGATAATATTACTAAATCCTAAGATGCCTATAATGGAACTAGGTCCCAATATGCCGATAACGGTACTTTATCTTTAAATGTTGAAATGTCCTGTCAACGAATTTTCCATAAGCTTAGGCCTCAGGATACAAATATTAATCCTGTTTCAAGTTTTCCACTTGAGTTGTTCTTCCATGGGCAGTAGTCGTCAACAGCTTCCCCCATGTCTGTGTCGACAGACATGTACACACTGCCCCAGCCTCGACTGCCACACAGTTTAGCCGGCTTACTCCATGTATAGCCGATAACAGAGGTATAAAGAGTGAATATGAATCGGAGAAGCACACTACACCTCAACGCCAGCTCGTAATTATGTAGCCTTTGAAACTCATCTCATGTCATGGGGTTACGCATATTGTACTGGATATTATAGAATACATATCAAATACATTTTTATATATTTTACAACCGGAATCAAATACAGGAGATCAAACGCGTCGATATTCTTTATTTGACGTATTTTAATTCAAATTTTGTTTGAAGTTTGTTTTTTCGTTTTCGTCGATGTAATGGCTGAGTGGGCCTGGCCAGTTCCCAGCGAGCAGGCAAGACCACACACAATACGTGCCTCAGTCGTGGACTTTCTCCACATGACAAATAACACTCTCACCAGTTGCAGATTAATTGCTTCTCCTAATAAATGTAGCTATCTGTTGTCTGCTCCCGCCATGACTTACCTGCGGGATATGCTCTATTGTATGACAGTTGACTACGACGGTCAGTAACACAGCCCCAACAAGCAGTGAGTTAAGAATACTTCCGTTTACATGTTAATACCAGCTCTTTACATGTACATTATCCATGGCAAGAAAAAGGAACACTTGTTTCATGCGTGTGTCCAGTGGTGGTGGTGTCAGCGTGTGTCCAGTGGGAGTGGTGTCAGTGTGTGTCCATAGGTGATGGTGTCAGTGTGTGTCCAGTGGTGGTGGTGTCAGTGTGTGTCCAGTGGGGGTGGTGTCAGTGTGTGTCCATAGGTTATGGTGTCAGTGTGTGTCCAGTGGGGGTGGTGTCAGTGTGTGTCCATAGGTGATGGTGTCAGTGTGTGTCCAGTGGTGGTGGTGTCAGTGTGTGTCCAGTGGGGGTGGTGTCAGTGTGTGTCCATAGGTGATGGTGTCAGTGTGTGTCCAGTGGTGGTGGTGTCAGTGTGTGTCCAGTGGGGGTGGTGTCAGTGTGTGTCCATAGGTTATGGTGTCAGTGTGTGTCCAGTGGTGGTGGTGTCAGTGTGTGTCCAGTGGGGGTGGTGTCAGTGTGTGTCCATAGGTTATGGTGTCAGTGTGTGTCCAGTGGGGGTGGTGTCAGTGTGTGTCCATAGGTGATGGTGTCAGTGTGTGTCCAGTGGGGGTGGTGTCAGTGTGTGTCCATAGGTTATGGCGTCAGTGTGTGTCCAGTGGGGATGGTGTCAGTGTGTGTCCATAGGTGATGGTGTCAGTGTGTGTCCAGTGGTGATAGTGTCAGTGTGTGTCCAGTGTGTGTCCATTGATGATGGTGTCAGTGTGTGTCCATAGGTGATGGTGTCAGTGTGTGTCCAGTGGTGGTGGTGTCAGTGTGTGTCCAGTGGGGGTGGTGTCAGTGTGTGTCCATAGGTTATGGTGTCAGTGTGTGTCCAGTGGGGGTGGTGTCAGTGTGTGTCCATAGGTGATGGTGTCAGTGTGTGTCCAGTGGTGATGGTGTCAGTGTGTGTCCAGTGTGTGTCCATTGACGATGGTGTCAGTGTGTGTCCAGTGGTGATGGTGTCAGTGTGTGTCCAGTGTGTGACCAGTGGTGATTGTGTAAGTGTGTCCAGTGGTGATGGTGTCAGTGTGTGTCCAGTGGTGATGGTGTCAGTGTGTGTCCATTGTGTGCCCAGTGGTGCTGGTGTCAGTGTGTGTCCAGTGGTGATTGTGTCCAGTGTGTGTCCAGTGGTGCTGGTGTTAGTGTGTGTCCAGTGTGTGTCCAGTGGTGCTGGTGTCAGTGTGTGTCCAGTGTGTGTCCAGTGGTGCTGGTGTCAGTGTGTGTCAAGTGGTGCTGGTGTCAGTGTCTGCCCAGGGATGATGGTGTTGGATTAGCCGGTAATTATAGTCATTCTTCATATATGTTGGCGGGACGTTATTTTCAAATCGGGTTGTATGACTTACAGCGGCTACAGATCTTATCTCCACAACAGCTGAGCCACGGGATTCGGGGCAACAATACTGTTTTCGTGGAAGCACATTCCGTTTCTTCAGCCGCTCCGTGTTCTCCGTGTCACTCAAGTCGCCCCGGGGTGTAATCTTATATATTTACATGGCGCTTCAACTTGGTAACTGATTCAGATTATTTCTGGGGCTTCAAACAGTGAGTTTCAGGAGATAGTGTAAAAATCGTACTTTTGCGTCTTGAGATGGTGTGGAAGCTGGCGACGAATTAATGGACTAGTGCGGTGAACGATGGACGAGACCTGGGATCAAAGCCTGCTTAAAACCAGC